GCTGGATACAACAGGGAATCTCATTCCAGCAGAGACTGTCCAGGCATAAATGTTGTTTGAAAATGTGGAGCTCTCTAACGGATGTCCATCATTGTCCAAGCTGTATTTTAGACAAAGATCATTTGTGACTTACTGACTGTGAAAAAATAAATTGCTATCAAATTAGTAAAATGATGTGTGTATGACTGTGCTTGGTAGAAACAGGTATTCCTGAAATGAGCCTCTGGGTACAGTGTGTGGTCCTTGTTCAGAGGATTGAAGCAGTTCAGTTCAGAAGCACTCCTGGAATTGTGGACTCTTTGGATTTGCTAGAAATTTTTAAAAAGTTTTCAGGGTAATACTGATCAGCCCTTTTGTTTTCCGAACAAAGCAGTATTTATATGCTCTGTGTAGTGAAAGTGGGCCTTCCAAATAAACACCTGAAAAGTGTTCTTCAGAAGATCAAAAAGCGATGCTGTGGATTCCTCCCTTCATTGTTTGATCACACTTTCTTGTATGCAGACAATCATTTCCTTGTAAGTTCATTCAAAATGCCACAGTTAATTGTATTCGAAAGATTTTTATTTTAAAGAAAAATCCATTTCTTTCTGTTCCCATGTTTTGTTAATAGTAAAGAAATATCTTTGCAATTCAAGTTCTTATTTAATTTATCTACATACCTAGCCAATGTGAATCTTAATGCTAAAGAATTTGGGGGGTTGTGTCTCCTAGCAATGTCCGTATCCTGTGTGATAGTTTCACTGGGCTAGCCCTTGGCTGTTTCAGGGCAAAGTACACATAAAATATAGGAGGTTTCATTTGATGAAGTAATTTTTAACATAGTACTGTAAAGATCTAAAATCTCAAGGGCTGGAGACTTGTAAATATTTACGTTTTAAACTACATGCTGAGTTTTGACTACAAAAATATCTGAAGACTTCGGGATAATCACCATTTCCCTGTACTTCTGAAATATGCTGAGAGGTGTGAAATCAACCTGTATAAATCCTGCTTCTGGTCACTAGTGGACACCAGTCTGGTTCCAAAAGGCTGCACAACTTCAGGTCACTGACCAGAAGTAGTTCTAGATATGTCACCAAGTAGAATTTATATTATTTATTAACTTGTGTGCAAGTCAATGATATTTTGCTAATACTGTGCTAGGAGTGAATTGGTATTGTTGTCCTTGATTTTGTAGGCAACAAAATTCACACAAATTAGGGGAAAAAAACCTGTTTTAAGGTATGTGATAATAACATCAGTTTACTTGGTGTGTGTTTATTTACTAGTAGAAACAGTATATGAGTTAATTAACACTTGTGTGCTATGAAATACTAAATGGAATGCTAGCAATAAACTGGTACCCTAGTGCCAGGACTGTGAAAACTGGTGTTTTAAAAGAGAATATATTGTAATATACCACAAGTTCTAAGTGCTTTGGTGTAGTTGCAACAAGATAGAATGTGGAAATGTTTTCTGTAGATGTACATGATTACAATCACAACATTTGGTTATATTTTCTCATTTAGCATTAATGTTGTAATACATCTGCTGTGTTTATTCTGATCTAAATTTCTTGCCTAATTGACGAAGATCTTTTTAAAGTTAAAAATCTGAGGTACTTGGTATATGTAGGCATGGGAGAGCAGTTACTCTTTTTTTTATTAGAATATTTATTTCTCTTTCCAGTATTTTTGCACACTTTCTGTTGCTGTTGAAGAGCTCTTCAAATGTTCCCCATTTATAAATGTAAACTGAGGTTTAATGTATGATACCCTCTTTATATAAAAACAGGCAATAAAACTTTTGCTTTATGGAAATGAGGATTTGTAAGCGTCAAGGATATGTTTTTATTCCTCTGTAGTAACAACAATTAGTAAATTTTCCTGCTAAATTCCATGTCCAGTGAATGCAACTACTAACTTACAATGTCTCATTTTCTTATGAGTTTTCTTTACATAATGTTTTCAACTTGACTATACCTTTTTATGTCAAATTCTGTCATTTCCTCGAATTAGATGCTTACTTTGATACAGCATGTCTTTGAAATGTTTTGGATTATGAGTATGTGCGTATTCTGGCAAAGTATAACTACCAGTTTGGCTGTTGCAATTGGTAATCAGGCCAGTAATTATACTATTTGCAAAATATACAAAGAAAGAGGTGAATGTTTTTTAATGATCAGATTTTTTTTTCCTTGCTTTGCTTTTAGATTAATAAAGCTGTGATTCTGGGGGTGATTTGCTGTCTTCTAACAAAATGTATAGCTGCTGCCATTGTATTAGCTGCAGTTGCTTTTACATTTACTGTTTTGTGATACCTACTTGACTTTATCTGATAGAGTTAACTAGATGAAGGTGGCCTGGCATGCTGAAATGTTTTGACCCTGTAGTTCATGCTGATTACATTTCATTATTTTAATTTCATTGTATGTGCTTCCCTGATTAAGCCCAAGCACTTTCTCAGTGCAGACACAGGCTGCTTGCGAAGGAGCACGAGGCGAGTTGTGCACGTCTGTGCACAGCAAGTCGGGTGCTGGTGACCAGGCCACGTACCATCGCTGCGGGACTGGATGAACAAGAGTCTTGACTGACAGAGGGAAACTGTAGCATTTTCTGCTCAGACGTGTTCAGATGTTGATACACAAGACCACATACCCAAGGATGGTCTCTGTATGCAGGTAAAGTGCCATAGCCAGCTAGTGGCTGACTATTTTATTAGGCCTGGATAGACATGGTAAACAAGAACTATTAGCACATAACATTTTCCATATGTATACGTGCACTAAGTACCAATTTTCTATAAAGTGCAATAATACAAAAGACTTAAATGCTAAGACAACAAGCATGCAGTTATTAACAGGGACATTTTATTTTATGGAATACCGTTAAGCACTGAAATATAGCAGTGACAGCACTACAGCACTACTCCTGTTCTTGTATGGGACAGTGTTCCAGTACTGATGAAGGACGGGAGGCCTCCCACCCCCTGAGGGTGGAATCAGCGCGCCCAGCTCGCTCCCTGAAATGCCTGTACAGCAACGCACGCAGCGTGGGGAACAAACAGGGGGAGAGAGAAACCTGTGTGCGGTCAGGGGGTTATGGTCTGGTGGCAATTACAGACATGGTGGGATTACAGCTCACATAGCGGGAATGTGGTCATGGAAAAGACAGCAGGATCACCATGAGCCAGCACTGTGCCCTCATGGCCAAGAAGGCCAATGGCAGCCTGGGGTGTATTAGGAGGGGTGTGGTTAGTAGGTCAAGAGAGGTTCTCCTCCCCCTCTACTCTGCCCTGGTGAGGCCACATCTGGAATATTGTGTCCAGTTCTGGGCCCCACAGTTCAAGACGGACAGGGAACTGCTTGAGAGAGTCCAGCACAGAGCCACCAAGATGATTAAGGGAGTGGAGCATCTCCCTTCTGAGGAAAGGCTGAGGGAGCTGGGTCTCTTTAGCTTGGAGAAGAGGAGACTGAGGGGTGACCTCATTAATGTTTACAAATATGTAAAGTTCGAATGTCAGGAGGATGGAGCCAGGCTCTTCTCAGTGATGCCCAATGGTAGGACAAGGGGCAATGGGTGCCAGCTGGAGCACAGGAGGTTCCATGTAAACATAAGGAAAAACTTTTTCACTGTGAGAGTGATGGAGCACTGGAACAGGCTGCCCAGAGATGTTGTGGAGTCTACTCTGGAGACATTCAAAACCCACCTGAACACACTTCTGTGTGACCTACTGTAGGTGATTCTGCTCTGGCAGGAGTTTTGACTAGATGATCTTTCAAGATCCCTTCCAGTCCGTAACATTCTGTGATTCTGTGTGTGACTCGTACTTTAGAAGTCCTTCTCCTTCCCAGTGACAATAACTGTGTCACTGTCTGTCTTCCAAGTACAGGGGGAAAAAAAAATAGATCACCTCTTAACTTGGTCATCCACCCAGTTTGTAGTAACTTTGATAAATAAGAGGTCTTTAAAACAAAGAAATTCCTTGACTTAAAATGGAGATGCTTAATAAATAAGTATAAAGCTAACAATCTTACTAAGGCACTACATTTAGCTATTAAACCTGAAACCTGTTTGTATGAAAGGTTATTGGTCACAGCTTATAAACAAGATTTATTTAAAATGCATTGAAATATTTTCTTTATTAATTCACAAAGAATATTTCCAAAGTTAGATTTTACTTTGATTGTGTTGCCTTAAGAGATGTAAGAATTCTGCTATGTGGTGTAAGTAGCCTGGATAGTAAAAAAAATTGGAATTGTGTTGAAGTTTATATGGTCAAAATCATCATGACATACCGGCTGAATCCTGGTACTCTGCTTAGACTCTCACCAAGAATCAAGGTTAAGATGGAAACCCCACAGTGCTTGAAATCCTCCAGCCTAACTAAACACCTTCCAAGTGTTTAACATCGGTGCAAAATGCAAGTACCTTGTACTGCACTTTGTGAAAATTAAATTACCCATGTCAGGTAAAATATAGCACGAGTTACCATGTGTCACTGAAAACAGCACTCTAACATGTAATACTGACACAAACAGTTAAAGAGTCAGATCTTTTTTATTGAAGAGACCATTTTCAAGATGCAAAATACTCTCCCCTTGTTCAATAAATTTATATCAAAGCAAATGAAATAAAAAAAAAAACCTTGACATGAAAACCTCACCAAATGTTTTCAAGACATGTTTCCTGTAAAGTATCCTAGAGCCTCTACCAGTAACAACAAGAAGATGCCTACAAAGCTTCTGTTTCTACCAAGTCCAATCCTGCAAAAGAACACACTCCTCATGGATGCAAGAGAGTTAAATATATACAGTCAGTGAGATACCCACAGAAGTGTTCTCATTCTTGCTGCATAAATTAATTTTCAAAGAAAACATTCTTCACTAGCCATACATGGCTCATGTAACAGCATCTTTTCAGTATATTTGTTGGAAATAAATGCCACTGTTATCATGCTGTCAGGCAAGAAAGCTACGGTACTGTGTCCCCTCTCAAGCTCTAAATATATGCTAAGAAAAATCAATTGTTCCTCCCAGTACCAAACGGGAAGTAGTCGGGGAATTCATGAATAATTTTTAGTGCTTCATTGTAGAGTTCCAGATCTGAAAGAGGGCAAAGAAAATTGTTATGATATGTAAGTTAAATTCTCCACAAGCAAGTGACAGCATTAAAGCACTGCTTATTTTAAAGCAGTATAGCTGAGTGTTCCCAGCCCCTCTCACCCTCCCCGGTTTTCCCAAGGCAGCCACATTCTCAGTGCTTGCTTTCTGAAGGGTTATTTTTAGGCCAAGGTCCAGTGCTAGGCAAGAACCATGTGCCTGGGAATGGAAGAATCATCACACCATGATCTAGACTGGCTCCAGCTTTGAGTCAGTCCCTACAATTTAACAGTAAAACAGTATATTTTGTACAGAATTTTTCCCATGACACTCTCCTTTTTTACATTCTACTCTGTATCTGGCAGCTTGAAGAAAGATCTTGTCTGTGAGAAAGGGTAATCAGGCTCTCCCTTCTTAATTATTGAAGAATAGTTCAGAACACAAAATGGATTTGTCATAATGTACATTCTTCCTTACCAAATGGACTTTTATCTTCTCTGAACTGGACATATGACATGCACATGATGGTTGCCTGATTTGTTACTCTCCCCACTACTTCAAGAACTCCCGAGATCTCTTCATCTAGCTAGAAAACATACCAAATAGGAAATTAGTATCACTAAATTAGCTGCTGTCTCTACTGCACAGCACTTAAGCTAGGAACTCTCCACAACTGACAGTTTGCTCGTAACAACAGATTCTGCTTCACGTCAAAACAATACAGTACTACTGAACATCCCACTCCCTCTCCCAAGAAAACCCTACAAAAGCCTTGAGTCACTCAGATTTACAGGTTCTGAAACAGCCAATTCAGTAATGATGAAAAAAAAAAAAAAAAGAAAAAGCATCAGAAGGAAGATACCAGTTTATAAATATATAAAACTGTGTCATTTAATCACTGAACTGAGACTAATCTAAGACACAGTGAGCAGAAGAATCCAGATTTTAATGCACTGCATTCAAACCCAAATAAATTATAGAACTCTGTAAGAGCTAAGGAAGTATCATGCATGCCAGAGAGCAGTTCCAGTATTCCAGATTCAGCAGGTATAACTGAAAATTACTTCTTAAGTAATTTGTCAGTAAGTGTCTCGAATACAAAGACATTGACAATAACAAGCCTTTGGTGGAACAAGGCGGGGAAAAAAAAAGGCTAAAAATTTTATCTTGCTCCAGAATTATATAGCTTTAACATGTTTTCTTTCTTTTTTAAGATACTATTTTTAAGACTGCAGTACTATTTCAGTAACATGCTTCCAATATGTAACTCTTACTTTTAACTTTCTATTAAGTTTCCTGGAACAGCGCAATAGATTCCCTCCCCTCATAATTTTGAGTTTCTCTGTTTAAAGGAAGAACTACCCACACAAAGCATTTTGATTAGCAAATCTAAAAGTCCCTCCATTTACATCAGGCAAACCAGAGAGATGAACCTAGCGTGTTTTTTCTGCACACATCAGTTTCTCCTCCCTTACATACCAATACAGACTGCAAAGTGCCTAACGTTGCAGCTATGCATTTATGAAATTGGACCATTTACTCAGTCATGGAAAACTGTGGAATCATTCATCAAATGTTGACATCTGAAGATTTAACAACCCAAGGCAGGAAACCTGTTCATGAGCTCAAGGAAGAGGTACAAGCAGAACTTGTAGTAAAGACATTCTTTTGCAGTCTGAAAATGAAGTCAGCAAGCTTGACATTTAGAAGACAAAACTCTTTGCAAGATCAAACTGCATTTTTCATAAACAAGGTGAGACTCCTTTTTGAAAGTCAGTGTATCACGTACAGTTATTTCACAAGGAAATGGTCAGATTTCTCAGCATTTAACAACTCAGTCAGATAAAAAGACAGAAAGGCTACACACATGCGCTCAGTTAAGCTAGAGCATTTTCCATCTCAATGAAAATAATCCTCTCATTACAACATTTCTTAGAGGGGGGGAAAAATACATAAAGATAGAAGAGAATACCAGGGTGTTATTAGTGGCATGTGGTAACAAAAGAAGCAATATTTCTGTGCAGTAGTTATTGGCAGATTTTACATCCATTGCATTAATTGTTAGGGGTTTAGGGGGGTTTTTTGGTTGTTTTTTATTTTTTTTTAGGAAAGAATGCTTCAAGCTAACTATGAAGTTTACTGGAATGCTATGACAGGTGTTCTAGAGTACAGAGAAACGTCAACTCAAAAGACTTGAGAATATCACATTCTTGAGTTTTTTGGATTATCTTTGCAAAATGCTCTGTCAGGCACATAAAGGTAAAGGCAATAATGTAAGGGAGGAAAAAGTGAAAGGAAATAGAGCTAACATATGTAGTGGAATATATTACACTGCAAACGACAAACAGAGTTAAGACAAAGTAGACAAACAGGGATGTGTCTGACAAGGAGCAAGTTCTCTCTCTTAACAGCAGCTGAACACTGATGAAGTCCGAGGCAGTTCATTAATATGAAGACTGCAAGTTAGCTGGAAGATGTAAGAAACAGTGGCAATGAAACATAAGTGGAAAAAGGAGAAATAAAGTGTTTTGGGGTTTTTTTTTCCTGACTACAAACTCGGTACATGCGAGGCATGCGGGGGTTTCAGAAGGGACAAACCCTCCGGTATCCACAAGAGGCAACACCAAGTTATTTCCAAACTATAACTTACAGGTTCGCTCAGCTCCACAGTCGTGTGTTTTCCTTCTCCATCCGACAGCACGAACAGCTTACCAGTGGGATGAACCTGCAAAAGACACCAGCCCTGCGTGCTCAAAAGGCAGCGAGCGGGCCCGTTACCGCTTCAGCCGCCTCAACCGGAACCGCGCAGCG